ACAGCTAGGCAAAACCCCAGAAGTGTTCTAAAGGAGAAAGAAAAGTTAAAAAGTTCTTATAGTAAAAGGCACATTCTTGAGAAGTATCAGTCCTGCGTTCTTAGCCCCAGGGTTGGTCCAGGATGGTTATCAGCCGGCTGTCAGGCAGTCAGGGCGCCGAATGCCAGTGGCCCGGAAGTTGGGTGTCCTGGAAGTTGGGTGCCGGGAGGTCTGGTCAGCCCCGGGCTGGTCTGGATAATGGAGTGTGATGGACGTACACGTGACTACTTCAGAGGGTAATCGCTGGATTCATGAGCCTCTCGGGGATAATCAGAAGGTTACCTGGAGGCCCGGATGTATCACCAGGCATTGGCACAGACTGGAAAGTTCAAAAAAATGTAAGTTTCCAGGCTCGATAAACAAGAATGACGTTTTCCATGTGCCTCAAACTTTATAATGTTAATTATTTTAGCAGCTCAGTTAAAATTACTCCGTTTTATGTTTCCTATTTTCACTCATTCCTCACCTAAAAAGTAAAACAGAGAATAAAACAAAAAATGACAAAGAGCTCTTAGAAATTAACAATATGATAGATAAAAGAGATGAACAATTCCCAGGAAATAAGACAAAAAGACAAAGAATAAGAGAAGTAAGAAAATGTAAATATGGATTCTAGGGATTAATGTAGGAGAACATCTGAAGAAAGAAGAGTTCCAGAAAAAGAGAACAAGAAAGCTTCCTGGAACCGAGGCCATGAGTCTTCAGATTGAAAGGTCTCTTTAAGGGAAAAGAGATCCCCTCCAAGGCATATGGTCATGAAATTACAGAACATGAGGGGTAAAAGAATCTTGAAAGTGTCTTTCAAATCAGTTCACATGCCAGGGAATAGGAATGGCATCAAACCGGCTAGCAGAGATTTTGCATCTGAGAAGGTAGGGAAGCCTTTCTTCAACTGTTTTTGAGACAATGATTTTTCCCCTAGACAAATTAATAGTTAAGCAGGAGGGTAAATAAAAGCACTTGAAGACACATGAGAATTCAAATTTATAACTTTTGTAGGAAACTACCGAAGAATACACTGCAACAGATGAGAATGTACCTGCGATGGCAAACTTCAGGGGCAACAGAAAGGAAGCGACTCAGCACAGGTAGGAGGCAAAGGAAAGTCCCAGAGTAATAGCGAAAGGACACCCTAAATGATCAACCCAACAGAAAATCAATCGAGATGTGAGCAGAAAGATGGTTAGAGCCTCCAAGAAAAAATAGAATTGATAGATTACCTGATATGTTTGAGCACTCGAAAAATCTTCATTTTAGAAGGATACGATGGACCACGTATAAATTTTTTTCATGAGAAATCAAAAAATGTGCCCGTTATTAATGTTCAAGAATGACAAAATATGGCAATTATTTATGCTAGGAAAAATAGTGTTTTACAAGAAGGAACACAACTCTGAAGTGTACATTTACACAGACATGCAAATGTAATACTGAAAACCAACTTAACAAAAAATTGTGTTATAACTATCTTGGGAAAGTGGCAAATGTAAGGAAAGTAGGATGGGTGGTAGAAGAGATGTAAATCTTCATTTACTATTACAGGATATTAATAAATAAATTTGAAATCGATAAGTAAGATATACTAATATAAACAGATTATTAGAAATATAGGCATAAATACCAGGGAAAAAAGTGTAAGCATTAAAAAGAGTTTCATCTGAGAAATGAGTTGGAGATGATCAAGAGATTATAGTAATCACAGTAAGAATAGTGTAATTTTATTTTATTATTAGTTGTTTAATCCTCACTCAAGGATATGTTCATTGATTTTAGAGGGAGTTTAAGGGGAGAAAGTGAGAAACATTGATGTGAGAAAGAAACATCAATCAGTTGCCTTCGCTACACGCCCCCACCAGGGATCGAACTGGAAACTCAGGTATATGCCCTAGTAGGGAATAAAACCCACAATCTTTTGGTGTATGGGACAACGTTCCAACCAAGTGAACCACCCAGCCAGGGCTGCTGTATTTTAAAATGGCTATTACTTCACTTAATTTCTCTTTCCCTCTCCCTTTCTCTTAATATACACATACATGCACACACTCACACACTCACTTCTATAACTTAAGACTTTGAATGTCCAAGTGTGCCTTGACAAGGTAGAAAACCAAGAACAAAGACTAATTTCTAATTTTTATCGTAACTTAGCTTATGGACTTCATTTCCTTGACAGCTAAATGACAGCAAGACCCTGAATGGAGATGACAGAGTTAATCACCTCCGTTGGAAGTCCTCTGGGACACAGCTTGCTGGGTTAAGGTTAGGATGTGAGGAGGGTTCGGGCTGTTGGAGGGGTGTTGGGGCTGTTTTGGGCAGGAGATTATAAGTTAGGGTGCCCAGAGAAGAGGAGCAGAAGCATATAACCAGCCTTGCCACTAGCCCAAATAGTGTGCAAGTTAGACAAAAAAATCATCTTACTGCCATCTGCCAGAAATTGTGGAAATAAATTCATAAGTCAGTAATGACTATGGTTGTGAAGAGAACCATGCAGAATCTTGCAACGGCTCTGCCTATAGCTAGAGTTGAGAAAAGGACTAATATGGATTTGAGGGCTCTAAAGAAAAACCTTTCCTATTTCATAATTTCCTTAGGATTATTAATATTCTTAGACATATTTAGATGATTCCATTCCCCTAAACTAGTAGCTATAAAAATGGCATAATTTTGAAATACAAAAAAAATGGCATAAGACATGTGTCTTATTCATTTCTACAAAGCTTATAATAAACACAGATAATTTCACAAATGAATGACTGATGTGTTAAAAATTATAGAACCTTCACATTCTGTTACTAGGATTGTATTCCTTTCAGCTTTGAGAAGTATAGAACTAGGGTTCCCATGACAGTCTGTTTGGGTTTTTTAAAAAAATAAATTTATCAAAGTAATATTGGTTAATAACATTATATAAATTTTAGGTGTACAATATTATCATTGAATATCTATGTATTCTACTTCATGCTCACCACCCAAAGTTTAATTTTGAGTCCCAATACAACCACTTTCAGTTTGCAAACTTGAACAAGTTACTCAACATCCCTGAGCTCAATTTCTTTATATGAAAAATGAAGTATATGCAAGACCTACTTAATAAAGTATTTTGAGAATTGAATAACATAATTTTTAGAAAGTATTTCAGAAGTTGGTAAGTGGGAAGCACTCAATAAGTTTTATTGTTACTACTAATCCAACCAATACTACCTCACCTTTATGTATACGCGTATTCACAGTTGGGAATTTACATTTGGCAGCTAGTCATATACAAGAAAAATAACAGGGTCTTTAACTGTTATTCTGCTCAGGTACAACAAGCTTGGGGGTGGGTGGTCTCATAGGGCGGTGCCAGAGTCACCAAGGAACAAGCCTATTTCAATATTCCTGCCATGCCTTTCCTATCCAGGGCCTCTACCTTCAAGGTTTTTCTCATGGCCCAAGATGGCTACTGAAGCTCCAGTCACCATTTCAGAGTTTCAGGCAAGAAGTAAAAGAAAGAAAAGAAAGTAAAAAGGGTTCATGCAAGTGGGCTGTCCTTTTCTTAAGGAGCCTTTCTAAATTCCACATCCAGCTGCAATGGAGGATGTCAGGAGTCCTTTAACTGGTCGTATTGCTACCTGAAGTAATCAGTATTAAGAAGAAAATATATGATTTCAGTTATAAAATTATGCTACCTGAAGTAAAATCAAAGTTTTGATATTATTAAATAAGAAGAAAATCAATACTGATTTGGCAGTTATAAAAGTATAATTTTATAATGATAAATTAGGATGGCTAACATTGCCATCATAATTAAGGTTTTAATTGATCTAAGCACTATTCCTAAATTATGTTGTCTTTGTTTTTGCCCCATGGAAAAGATATGCTTGGGCCAGTGGAAAGCAAGGTTCCTTGAAGTTTGCAAAAAGAAATTCACTTCAAGGTGCAAAAACAAAATTTTTGAATTCCGAAAGTAAGAGAGGTTGCCAGTCATTTATATTTTGCATATCCTTCTGCCTTCAGGAAATAAAAATACAAATATATACCTGTGTTGTGTCATTCTGTATTATTCATGGATCATAGGATATCTCTAAATTGGCATATAAGTGATAAAGTCAGAAAAAAAAAATGATCTTATAATTGACATACTTTTCCAGTGAGAATGTTCTAAGAACTAAAGTAATATGGCATAAAATATGAAAAAAATGGACTTTTAAAAAATAAATGATTACCTTTTATATAAAAAGTGAGAGATAATTTAAGTAATGAAAACAGGTTTTTGAGGAGAAAAATTATAACTCTCCTGGGAGAATTAAAAATCAACATAGAGTCATCACTGGCTTAAAAGAATCTACCATGGTCGAGGTACATGAAGGAGTATCCTGGTTTGCTCGGGACATTCCCAGTGTCGGCACTAAAAATCCCAAATCCTGGGAGATCTTCGGTTCTGGGCAAACCAGGACAGTTGGTTACCCTATTTTTAGCTAATATCAGGGTAGCTGGTTTAGTGTAGTGCAAGAGAAACGATTAGGACTTTTCACATCTGGATAACGAAGACCTAATGTACGATTCACTGTTAGGAAACATTGACTGTGAGTCAGAGGTGAAGAGGGATGTTTCTGGAAATGGCACAGAAGCAGACAAAGGAAGGAAGCAGATCGGCAGTTCCAAGCTCATCAAACTTGCCTGTAATCTGTGCCGTGTCATGGGCTTGTGTTCATGGCCCTGTCTGCTGCTGACAGTGAGTGTTGCTTGCAGATAAGTGTTAATAAACGAGGAGGATTTTCATAGTCAACTTCAAACTTAGCTTTAGGTATTAGGCCATAATCTACACATCTGGTTTTTCTAGTTCTCATAGAGGGTAGCCAGATAACATATAGGATGCCCAGTTAAATTTGAACTTCATATAACTTTTTAGTTGAGGTATGTGCCAAATATTATGTAAGACATACTTATACTAAAAAATGATCCATTGCTTATCTTTAAACAAAAAAATGAAACACTTCATGAATTTGCGTGTCATCCTTGCACAGGGGCCGTGCCAGTCTTCTCTGTATTGTCCCAATTTTAGTGTATGTACTGCCAATGTGAGCACTCCATTATTCATCTTAAATTTGGCGGGGGGTCTTACATTTTTATTAGCTAAATCTGGAAGCCTCACAAGAAGAAAATCACACAGTGTGTCCACTGGTACCAGTGCAAACACACAGTTTCTTTCCCTAACAGGGCTCTCTGAGAGACAACAGCACTTTTTCTTTTGTGAGCCCCCTCTTATTTCCATGATTCTTACTATTCTTTTCATGTACCTTGGGCCTTTCAGAAAAGGTCCTGGGTGCTCACTATCTGCTTCACTGAGTACAAAGGAGGGAGTTCAAGGTAGAATTCTCTCAACCCTGTTCTTATCACTCTCTCCCCTGCTGTCTGGGTGTACATTCCTACCCTCCTTCTTTACTTCCTCTCTCAGAACTGAGATCTTCCTCCTCTTGAAATCTTTCCTTTGCCACATTGCATGATCTCAGCTCCTCCAGCTTCTTCCTTCCTGCTGGTTTGCTTTCTTTGATATGTGAACAGTAGGGACTCTTTGCTCTACAAGGAAAGGTTCCCTTTGGACCTCTGACTCCATCCTGTGTCTCTCTTTTTTTTTTGACACTTAAACTCATTGAGACTCAGTCTGCACTGGTGGGTTCTACACCTGCCTAATCAACAGCCTTACCCGGGAAATTTTATTGAACTGTTGGTTTCAAGTTTCTGCCCTTACATGTTTTAAATCCTAAGGTGGAACCTTTATCACATCTAGCCATTTCTACCTCCTCAATATCTCTGGGCTCTATTCTTGCCTCTGAGTGTCCATTGTCCCTTTTTTGGTCTAGGTAAAGGTGACTCAAGCCAAGATTACTACCTCTCAGTTTTCCTGTGTACCTCTAATTTTTTCAATACACTTCCACACAATCCTCAGATTAATTGATTTAGATTTGTGTTTTAACATTCTTAGTGAGAGATCTTAACTGACTTCCCTTTGCCTTTAGGATAAATTCCAAGTCCTTAGCATGACAAATATAGTTGTTAGTTACATGGCCACTCCTAACAGTGCAGCCCCATTGCTCTTCACCCTTTTTCCCAAGGATGCTTAACTACCTGCAATTTCTCCAGGCACTGTGCATATTTTCCCCAGGTTTTACTTGCACACCTTCAAACGTCCTCCTGCCAGAAACTCACTTAGCCCACTTCTTCACCTCACTCACCTTTGTCCTTTAAAATAATGAAATTACCTGTATACCTGTCTGCCTTGCTATGGATATTGAGTTCCTTGAGAGCAGACAAGTTATCTGATTTATTTTTGTGACTTCACTATATACTACAATGCCATAAGATATTGTTGTAAGACTTTGTAAAAGAAAGAATGCCTGGATCAATTACTGAATGATTGAATTTAAACATGTTTAAAACCCAGCAAGTTATTTCCCAGAGAAGAATTAGAATGCAAATTAAAATTTCAAAAGGCAACCGAAACTTAGAAAACTTATCGAAACTCATTAAACATGGAAGTGGACAGGATCTCAGGGTTTATGTATTCTACTTTATAAATGCCTACATATCTTAAAAATATTAAAAAAGTAAATTGTAATCTCAAGTTCATACATAACACCTGATCTGAAAAAACTGGGTTTGTATTCAGCTATGTTTCCTTTTTTTTTTTCCAAATCTGTACCCTTGATTATTTGTTTATTTTTCTCTTTACCATAAAACTTCTACAATGGCTACCAAATTTCCCAATGCATCCAGTAAAATCAACTAGTAACCTCAAATCAAATGACAGTATGCCTTGTCTATTCACCCCTGTATCTGAATTTCTATGCTAAATTGGTTGAATATTTCACAATCCATTCTCTATCTCTTCTGGCCTGTGAGTAAAATCTTTTTTCTGAGCAGAACAACTTATTTTTGTCCATGAGTACAGACATTTATCATCAACTGTTTATGTTTTCTTCACATTTATACTATTATTTTTTCCACATTAACTATAAATTACAAAATCTCCAAGCAAAAAAATGAGTTCCTATATGAATAATATTTTCCTTCAAGATATACAGGGATAACTTACTTATTTGTGCATGATAGATTTGCAAACACATGTGCAAAGTACTTACTGATCCATCTTGTCTCACCCTTCATATACAGTTTACCTTCTGTTGCCAATAGTGTAGTGTAGTATGTTAACTTGTTTTTTTCCCTAACTTTTAAAAATCTGGTAAAATATACATAACATACAATTTACCATCATAACCATTTTAAAGTATACAGTTCAATGGTATTAAGTCCATTCATATTGTTGCACAATCATCACAGCCATCCATCTCTAGAAGTCTTTTCATCTTGCAAAACTGAAACTCAACGCCATTGAACAATAACATCCCCCTCCTTTCTCACCCTTCCTCCAGTCCCTCACAACCACCATTCTACCCTGTTGCTATAAGGTTGACTACTCCAAGTGCATCATGTAAGTCGAATCATACGGTAATTGTGTTTTTGTGACCAGCTTATTTCGCTTAGAACAGTGTCCTCAGTGTTTATCCATGTTGTAGCCTATGTCAGAATTTCCTTTCTTTTTAAGGCATATAATATTAGATTGTATTTATATACCGCAGTTTATGTCTCTATTCCTCTTTCCATGGACAGTTGGGTTGCTTTCATGTTTTAGCTATTTGGAATAATGCTTCCTGAATGTGGGTGCACAAATATCTCTTTGAGCTCCTGCTTTGAACTCTTTCGAGCATATACCTAGAAGTGGAATTGCTGAATCATATGGTAATTCTATTTTTAATTTTTTGAGGAACCATCATACTGCTTTCCACAGTGGCTGTACCATTGTACATTCCCCCCGAAGTGCAGAAAGTTTTCAATTTCTTGACATCCTCACCAATACTTGTCTTCTGTTTTTTGATAGTAGCCAGTCTAATGGGTGTGAGGTAGTAACTTGTTTATATTATTAGGATTATTTGGTCTACTCTGAATAATTTGATAGCCTAAGTACTTTTGTTTCTATTGATTATTTTTTATTCTATTTATAAAGCTTCATTTTGTTCCTAGCAAATAATAGATAAAACATACTGCTCTCATTTCCTGAATATTGATCTGTAGTGTTTCTGACACAAAATGATCGGTGACCTTGAACTGATGACAATATCACCTGTGCTTTCAACCTTGAAATTTGATGTAAAAGTCAGAAAAACTAAGAGGTTTCTTTTATTTGTTTAAGGGCTATATATTTGATAATATTAAGAATTCAGTGAAGGGTAAGAGGTGAGCAGGTAGGTTATAGAAAAGATTGATTATCAATTGATAATTGTTGAAACTGGGTGATGGATTCAAGGATGGATTCATACTTAAATATTATATTAATCTCTCTATTTCTGAGCAAATTGTGATTTTTCATTAAGAAAAGTTTTTAAAGCTGTGTTTAATCTGTTAAATTATCAAGTATTTACAAAGATAACATCTGTTAAGTATGGTGAGAGGAGATTTTCAGTTAATGCAGAAAAGAAAAATATGAAATAAAATGTGTGTATCACACTCACACACTGTTTTTCTTGCATTTTATCCTCGCCATAGATGATTGATCTAGTTTTCAAATGATATTAAATTTGGATCATAGCTGAAAAACTTTAATTCCTAAATATTGCATAACTAATTGAATGAAATTGCATCAAAAGCACATTACTCTTATACTTTTGAATTGATGCATAATCTAAAACATTCCACTTTCTGTCTAGAGACCATAATACAGGTCCGTCCAGTAAAACTTTCTGTAGTGATGGAAACATTCTATGTCTACTCTGTCCAAGATGGTAGCCACTAGCCGTATATGGATATTGAACTGGCCGATGTGAGCAAGTGGTTAGTGGGACTGGGGAATGGAAGTTTACATTTTATTAATTTTCATTTGTATTTTTAAGCATTTTTCTTTAGAACATCTAACAAATTATGTTTTTCAATGAAGATATATATATTCCTCTAACAAGTGGAAAATAAAATCACAACAGGGAGGACTTAGAGCAGCAGAAATTCTCACTCACTGCTGATGCGGATGCAGATGGTTCAGCCACTTTAGACGACAGTTTGGTGGTTTCTTACAAAACTAAACATGGTCTTACCATGTGATCCAACAATTATGCTCCTTCATATTTATCCAAATAAATTGAGAGTTTATGTCCACACAAACAATAAATTAACTAAACAAAATCACATTATTCCATAAATTAAAAATTAGGGATTAGAATTCATACTACATGATTTGATAAATTTATAGATTTTAAAATTTAAACTGAGAAAACATTATAAATAACTTGTCTATGAATAATGACACAGGATTGAAGTGTAGTTAGTCAATTATTATATGTGTCTTGTTTTAAGGTTTCAGTAGAGTACCATACCAAGGATTTTTAATAGCTAATAATAATAACGATAATAGGTGATATTTATAGAATGCTTAGCATGCGATACACTGTTAAAGCACTTATATATATTCAATAAATTCACATGAATTAATGTGTTAAGGTTAACATATTTAACAATTATACCACCTCTTTCAGGTAGGTACACTATTAATATTTCCATTTTTCAATGAAGAAACTAGGATACAGAGAAGTAGTGACTTACTCAAGTTTATGCTGGCAATTGCTGGGATTGGGATTTGAACCCAGAAATATGGCTTAGGTCTACATTCTTAATTGCTTTGATATTTTCCTCTCTTGCACTGTGTTAATAGAGAATTTTTCATAACTTTGGAAAAAATCCTATGTATAGTAGTATATTATAAGATTAAAGGAAAAAAGGATATAAAATCAAATACAGAGAATCATTCACTATATTTACTCCTCCAGGCCCCCCAAAAAACTATGCTTAGGAAAAAAGATCAGAAAATAAACTTTTTGTCTCTTTTTTTAGTATGTTCAATATTTTTATAATCAGAAAAAATGTTTATTACAAAACTTTAGCTATTAACATTATAAAGCATACTTAAAGGTTCTTTATGGTTTAAATTAATATTTTATATTAGAGGCAATCTAAATCTAGATTTTATAAAAGTTCATTAAA